GATACGTTGGGTCAGACACATGAAGCACACAGACACACAAACCATAAACATATTTGCCTAACATTTGTAATAGCCATAAAGTTATGCCCGTGATTGCAGTTATTTATTTACTCGTTTACGCTCTGCCCAGCTCTACAAAAAAATTACAACTTTTTATTCAGAATGATACAAAATCAAAGTTTGAGGCTCTGGAAAATGTTTCCAAAGGTCACTCCACTGTTTTCTCAGCAGTGCTGTTAAACCGCAGGTATTTGACTGTGTGGCCATTAAAAAGTGCTGATTTTTGGCATTTCTGTGTCTGTGTTCACCTTCTAAACTGTCTGTGGTGATCTGACCAGCTTGCCAAACGACTTGTTTAGACTAGTTAATGTGGCACATATCAAACTGTGCAGCTAGCATTTTCTTTTACTGTAAGGGCCAACATGGAGGAAGTTGGTCACCCAGCTGCAACTTTACCACCAAACGTGTTTCTGAACAGTCTTGTGTTTGTGTCACAGCTTCAACTGGGCACAAGTTCTCACTGCAGTTCTCTGAACAGTGTCAGCGTTAATGCTTTTATGAGGTAAACGGCGCCTTATTCTAAGCTCGACGTTGTTACAGCGATCCAGAGCCTAGCTTAGCTTCAAAGCAGCGGTATGAATTAGCGATGAAGATGCTGGCCCCTGAGTGAGCGGCTCCTGCTGGCTTTAATGACAAATAATGTGTGATGATGATGACTCATTTGAGCCAAGTGCTAAGATAAACAGCGCGAGCCTCCTTGTGAATGTGCTCTTCTTGGTTTCATTGATCGGCTGTGAGGGCTGTAGTGACTAATCTTCAGACGCTCTAATGCTTCGTGACCTCAGATTGATCGGGGAACTGGGGCAGAGGTCAGATACACAGCTCAGCATGTGGCACGGAGGGAGTCGGTCAGGGAGCTGATTGTCAGCGCAGGTGAGGACCGGCTGGGTGATGCTCTCGGTGAAAACGATTCACATGGCGCAGCACATCATCCAGCACGAGCACAGTGAGTGTGTGCGCTTGTGTCTGTTCACAGAAGGAACTGAGTTCATTCGGGGAAGACAATAGAGCCATTCGAGATGCGTTGCCCTTCTCCTGGAGAGTATTTAGCAGCAGGCGGTTCAGGCTGGACACTTTCCAGAAGGCATCGTTTTTATATTTATTTACTAGCGTTTGCTGTTGTGTTTGCTGTCTGTCAGAACAGTGACAGGTTCTGATCATTTTATAATCTATAGCTTAAGCACGCTCACAGAATCTGAAGATGTTAAGACAGATCAAACCAATCCAGGCGAAAATAACCTCAAGTAAAATAAAATCAGTCATCTGTCTGATAAAAGTACCTTTTAAGAAGATATTTAAAAGAAGTCCCAGACTCAGTCGGTCTCGTGTCCTCGGGCAGGCCCGGGGGCTGCTCTGATAAAAGACCTCTGCCTCAGGACTACTCACTGCATGCTGGCTTGTCGTCTTGTGTGTGTGAGGTCAGAAATGCAGGACTGAAAAAGGCCAAGGAGGAAATAATAACGTGGTTGACACTGAGAGCCGGAAAGTTTAACGTCAGTGATATAAGCAGATCGATGCATGTTAAGTTCATGCAGCTTGAATCATGTGTGAAACGCTCTCTGTATGTTTAACAGTCAACATAGATCCTGTCTGTTTGTGGTGTGCTGCTCAAAGTGTTCAGATGATTCGGCTGGTGAGTCACGTAATGAGCGCTGAGCCCCGGAGGGCAGAAACAACACTGCAACTTGTTGGACCCTGACAGTTTGTAGAAGCTGAAGCATGCCAACATTTCATTGGTTTCATTCTTATCACCTCTGAAACGGAGGGAAAAACCGATGTGATAAAACTCGCAGGTATCGTTTGATCCATGTGCAGCTGTTGCTTTCCACTCTCTGTGTTCATACAACACTTTGCATTTTATCATTTTTATTCATCTCTGACACTTTTCCACAGTGTGTCTTTTGTGCTGTTTATTCCCCTGCTGATCACAGCAGATGGCCCCGCCCCTCCCTGAGTGGTTCTTCTGGAGGTTTTTCCTGTTAAAAGGGAGTTTTTTCTTCCCACTGTTGCCAGGTGCTTGTTCATAGGAGGTGGGCGTTTACTCAGTATTATTGTAGATAGAGCAGGGCGATATGGCCAAAAATATTTATCACGATAAATTTATTGATAATTTGCGATAACGATATAACTGACGATGTAATT